TATGTATGAGGCTAACAACTCAGAGTGTTACGTAATTTTTTTTATCAACAGTATCATAGTGAAATTCGTGTTACCTATACTCTACCCTTAATAAGGTTGATTAGTCTAAATTTAATAATGATGGTCAAAAACTAGTCTAAATTTAGCAATGATCCTAGCTCAAATTTCTCATGAGCATAGTAAAGTACATTGTTTTAAAAAAGAACAACAAAGAATTTTTTTGAGAAATCTCTTTATTACATTAAAACTAAATACATATTCTATCAACTAATAGAGCTATTTTTTTAAAAAGATAGGATAGAAAATGACTTCTATACTTTTAAAATTTGCCCAAAATTTAGGAGGTCTTTAGACTGAGCCAACTATAGTGGGAGGAGGTAATGATATTTATTAGCACCTAAAATTTTTAAATAAAAAATTAAATAGATCAATACTTTAAGGTTTGTTTAGGAAACAATTGAATTCTTTTTAAGATTTTAAAAAAGCTTTATCAACTTTAACTTTACTATTTTCATAATCCTTTTTTGGTGATGATGATAAATATGATAAATTTTTCTCTTCAACATTATCGATTTCTTCTGGTTTAGTGACAATTTCATATTCAGGAAATAATATTTTTTGGCTATATATTTTGTTATTATTATTATTTTCTTCTTGATAATCATTAGAACAATAATTTTTGTGTTTTCCGATATTCCAATGATTTATTTGATGTTCTCTTGAACAATAACAACTCATTCCACACTTCCCACATTCTTTTAACTCCAATAATAGATTATTTGACTAATTAAAAAACAAAAAAAACTTTCTTAATAAATATTCATAAATTGAATAAAAAAAATTTTTAAAAATTTTCATTTAATGTGTCATTTGAAATGTTTTTTGAAGATTCATCATCATCATTAATATTCTTGTCCTTATTATTATTTTTGTTGTTATTGTTATTGCTGTCATCACCAAATTCAATATACGGCCAATATGTATTATCTTTTGGTAATTCATTTCTATAAACTTTAAAACTTTTATTTTCAAAAAAAAAAAAACAAAAGGCTTTTTTAAATTTTTGAATAATCAGAATACACACACAAACCATTTATTACCTCTGAATTGGTTGGCGCTTCTGAAGTCAATCAATACAATTTCATTATATCGAATGATTCATTATAAAAAAGGAATATTTTGTAAAAAATGTAAAATTTTGAATTTTCAAATGCTAAGGCTCATCCAATTTTTAGTTTCGATAAGTTTTGAGGCTTGAGTCATGAATAATAAAACTTATGAGTTAACTTTTTTAAAATGATATAAAAGTTTTTCGTTTTTAATACTATTAATTGATATATTGTATCATGACCTCGCCTAAATATAGTCAAACTTCGATAAACCAAATTCCATTAAACCGAAGTTGTAGTTTATAGTAATAGTAATAGTAAATTTCAGAATTTCTACCAATAGCCCTGATTACTTCTGCTTATATGTAATAGGAACCGTATTTGTAAATGGAAATATAAAATGTAAATTTAAATGTAAAAAGATGAAGAAAAGACGTGTAACAAACGTCTCGGAATACCCCAAGAAAGAATAATCGATAAAACGTTCGTTAGTATATTTTGTTCATAGATCTTGTCCTTGATGCTTACTTCGATCACTCCTATACAATATTGAATAGTTGATAAAACATTCGTTGGTGTATTTTGCAAGCTTCATAGATCTTGTCCTTAACACTTGCTTCGAACTTCTACACAAACTTGATCTTAATCTTTATTATCATCCTCAAAAAAGATGTTTCGTTGTCGTTGTTTGCTATTTGTTTCTACTAATATTATTGTTTAATGTCGCTATAACAACTACTGATTGATGGATATTCATAATAATCATTAATGAAACTTTAATCAATATAAAACAATCACTAATAAAATACCTTTTAGTTTTGATGAATCCCATCTATATAAAATTCTTCATGACTATTAAATTTCTATAAAATGGATTTTCGTGAGCCTCTCTAAAACTTATTAACCAATATCCCATAAAGTAATGATCATATGAAAGTTTAATGTATTCTACACCTTCTCATTTACTATCAAGTCTTTTAAAGCGATATTGAGAAATAATCCGAGCTTTGAAGTGAAAAAGTAATACTGTTTTTGAATAGTCGTGTATTCATGTAGAGAAGACCTTTCGATATGAAAAGAGTATTCATTAGAAAGCTTTAATGGAGTTCTTTCATTTTTCTCTAACAACAAGTTCGAGTTTTACGAGATGTTTTAAAAAACCTTCATGTGACACGAATTTCGAATTTATTTTCACGTGCCTCAGGGATATGTCACACGACTATTATTATTATGCACGGATGATTATTAGCATTGGTATTAGTACTTAGAATAACAAATTTTAAATGAAATTCTTTTATGTGTCCCGTGCACCCGTTGTTGACTGGACTGAAATTGATTAAATATGGAGGTAAACATATGTGTGAATCGTAAATATAGATTTCATAGGTTCATGCATCACTTAAAGAATAATTATTTGGGTAGAATCAATGGTTTATTTTTCTTTTATAAAATAAATCATCATAGTTGTATAAATCGCGTTAGAACGAACAATAATAAAATTATTCCAAAACAGTTATAAAGTATATATGGCATGATCAGCAATGTGTTTTATTTTAATTATAATACGAGTGAGTAAAACTGGTTTTGATCCCAGATAGCCTGGTGTATAATTTGGTGGCGCTTCTAAAGTTGATTCATTATGTCAAATGATTTTTCATTATATAAAAAAGGAATATGATATTATACTACTGAATTGATCGAGTAAAATTTTTTTTTTTCTCAAGCAAAATGAATGATAATAATTTTAACTTTTTCATCCCTGGCCATCCACAAAATAATCCTTCGATTTCTACCTATTCTAATAATATTAATCTCAATAGTAATAACAATAATAATAATAGTGGTGATAACGCGTCTAATATTAACACTTTTGGTGAGAGTTTTCAAGCTGCCAACTTAAACAATAGTCCTCTTGAATTTTTATCTCCGCCACAATCTCAGTTTTCACTTGAAACACAAACTCAATCTTTACATGGACAATATTTACTTCTCGAAACACAACAAACTCTGATTCTACAACAGCCTCATCCTTCGAATCCTCAATTAAGCCATCATCATCAAAATGGGCTCGTTATTCCTCAACCATATAATCAAGCACAATTTAACACAAGACTTCTTTATAATTACAACAACAACAACAACAACAACAACAATGATGATGATGATGATGATGATGATGCATTAGGTGGAGACCTTGATTTTGTGATTCTAAACTTGAATGATACCATTAAAAATCTTTCAAGAATTTTGAATGATTATGATATTTTGACTGGACATCTCAACAATGAAATTCAAAATATAAATGCTCTTAATAGAAATGGACTTATTATTCCACCAAACAATCAAGCAGAATTTAATCTGAACAATCGTAATAATGCACTAGGTGGGAATTTTGATGATGTGGTACTAAATTTAAATGTTATAAATAAAAGTCTTTCAGAATTTTTGAATGATAATCGTATTTTAGCTGGACATCTTAATTATGGGATTCAAAATATCCCAAGACTTCCTTATAACTATTACAACAACAACAACAATCATATCATTGCACGCCTTGTTGTAGCAGTTCAAAATTTAAACAAGATTAATAAAAATATTTCAGAGATTTTGAATGGTCATCGTGTTTTAAGTAGACATCTTGATAATGGAATTCGAAATATCTCAAGACTTTCTTATAATTATTACAACAACAACAACCATAACAATGGACATATTGACAATGTGGTTCTGAGTTTAAATGATATTAATAAAAGCCTTTTGGAGATTTTGAATAATTGTGGTGTTTTGGATGGACATCTCAATGATGAAATTCAAAATATAAATGCTCTTAACAGAAATCTTTCAAAGATTTTTAATAATTTTAATCAATAATATTTATTATATTTATTTATTATTCTTTGTAGAAACATGACGAGAATATGTTTTAGCAGTATTACATATAATCATATAATAGTAAAAATAAATTATAATTCATCAAACCTCACAACGTTATTTAAGGTATATGTTTTTGAATTTGTCTTAATATGCTATTTATTATTACAAAAGTAAAGCGACCTTGCTGCTATATATTTACTAAAAATATTGAGATAAATTTGACCATTGGAAGTTTGCCAGATGATAAATTTTTTTCTTTGTACAATAATAAAACAATTTCTATTCGTTTCGTTACTTAGAATGACAATAAAAAAAAAACTTACCATTCATTTGCCCCCACCCAAAAAAATACAATATTCTTAGCAGAATAAAAGATAATAATAATAATAATAATAATAACGGTGGTAAGTTAAGAGATAAATCATTGAATAATAATTAGTAGTATTAACAATGAACCATTCATTACGTAGTAAGTAGTAATAACAATAGCAGTGATAACAGTAGTAGTAATAATAGTGAACCATTAGGTAATGGTAATTATGGTGAACCTTTCGTTCGTGAAAGGGATTTTGAATGGATTAATTGAATCTATTACATCTGATGTTTTGGGTTAAATTCCCGTTTAAGTTCAATTTCAACTATTCAAAAAAGACCTGCTCAACATGTAAGAATTAATGTTAGTTGGACATGCAAATATTTTGAACAATAATAAAACATGTAAAACTATTTGTTTGGTAGAGCTAATAAAAAGTAATTTTACTAAATCTTGCCACGCAAGCAAGAATTTACTTAGCAATACCGGCAAGCTCAGTACCATCTGAGAAGTTATTTTCACCGGGAATTTATTTACAAAAAAAAAAGAAACAGACAGACTTAGTAAAATAATATTCTTAATGTTCTTTTTTTAAAGAAAATTCAAACCTTTTTTAAAACTATTATTTTTTAGTAAATTTACATGCATTAAAATATATTCATGGCTAACAATTGGTTGTTATCGCACCACATACAGCTTCTTGTGAGAGAATTGGTCGATTTGTGGATGGTTATTTGGAAAGAAGGTTCATAGTTATTATGCCTTAAATTGCAAGGAAGAATTGAAATAGCAGATGAAATATTTCTGAAAATGAAATATAGAAAACTTTTTTGACAGCTCAAGATGATAATGAGGAAGAAAATGAAGATGATGTAGAAATGTCTTCACTAGGAGAAGAAAATAATGATGTGAATGTTAATGAGGAACTTCCAGAATCTTATTATTCAAAATACAATGGATTTATCTCATAAGATCCAGATGACAGTTTACCTGAGATGACAAAAACAGATCTGAAAATTTACCTGGAGAAGAAACCATGTTAGCCATAATGATAATGAGGAAGGATATGATCCAAATAAATTGACATCATCATTTATGTAGTTTTATTGTGGTATTGTTTTTGTTAGACTGGTTAAACAATAAAATCCGAGATTAAAATACATGGAAATTTTAATCATATTAGGGGCTCTACCTACAGTTTAGGATTTGGCCCATAGTTTAGGAGTTTCGTTCACGGCTTAGGAGTTTTGCCCATAGTTTAGGCAATTTAGGCCTAAACCGAGATTGCCTAAATTCCTAAACTATGTGTTAGTTCGGTCATCTTCATTAAAATTGAGTGAAGAAAACGGGGAGAATAGCTGAATAAAACAAATAAAGAAATATTAGCATTGGTGTATTGTGTGAGATTTTTTAGTGGTCAGTGTTAATAAAATTTACTATATACAAAATGATTCTATTTTTCATATTCAATGCTCTTTTTATGTAATTTAACCTGGATAATTTGAATGGATTCTTTTTCAACTATACGAGTTTTATTTTTTTGAATTGGCAAATGATGCAAAAGTTGTGACACATGCGACACATGCATAAAACTTGTTTATTAAATTTTGTTTTGTTTATTATTTAATTAATATAATTTAACTTTAAATTTTTTTATGTTCCAAAAAAAACAAATAATAGATTGTCGATAATCTCAGTTGTACAATTAATATTTCCATATAACATTATGATAATGAGTGAACACACTCCATTTACTTATTATTTATGTGTTGGATGATATACGTAATATTAGACGTACCTCTGGTGATAATGATTCACATCTTTAACTTTATATCACTCGTGTGTGTATAAAAGTTGCCTACATACCGACACAGCCAAAGCGAACCCACTGGTTTCCAAATTTTTGATGTAACGAACATATTATAAATTTAATGTTAATATAAGGTGTAAAGAGTATGATGGCGATTTTTAAATTTTGACAACCACATCAGAAAAATAAATCTTACGTAAACCCACGTATGTTTCAAATTGACTAGCATGATGTCAAACCCTTGGTAATTCTAGTAACACTTTCGCATAATTTTAAAATTTATTTTCCATTAAAATTTTCTTTGCAATTTAATGGATTTATTTATGTCTCCAAAAATGACCGGATTTGAAGATAAACTTTGTTGCATCCATAAATATAAAGCAACTTCAAATTCAGGAATTTTTCTTCTTCTTTTAACACACATTCGGAACTAATGATGTTGATACTTGCGACTTTTTTAACGATATTTTCTATAGTTTAGAATGGATACCATTTGCATATTTCTTTTTTATACGTGTTTAAATTTATAAAACAACTTGAAGCTTTCACAATGAATAAAGTCATCTACTTATAATGTAAAGATTTATTTCATGTGGGTCTTTTTTGTCATTAATATAAATCGTTTTTTAATAAAAAAATGGCTATGCAATCTTTTTTAAAGCAAAAGGCTAAGTTATGATAGGCAAAATATTCATTTATAATATGGTTGGCTCGGTCTAAAGACCTCCTATTTCTGCGCCACGTGGCCAAATTTCAAAAATAGCAATTTTGTAATTT